TGCATTACTGTATGTGTATGTGTGTAGGTGTGCATTAGTGTATGTGTGAATGTGTGTGTGAGTGTATTTGTGTGTGTGTGCATTACTGTATGTGTGTAGGTGTGCATCAGTGTATGTATGGATGTGGGTGTGAGTATATGTGTATGTGTGTAGGTGTGCGTTAGTGTGAACGTGGGTGTATATGTGTGTACATGTGAGTGTGTTGTGAATGTGTGAGTGTGTCTTAGGAGCTGCTAACACGGCCTGCTCTGCCCCCCTTCCCCTCCCCGTACCCCCACCCTCAGGCCGACCCTCCTGTTACCAAGACTAAGAGGCCGGTGACCAGCATCTGGCATTTGGCGATTCTGACTCGACTCCAAGGCCCCATGGCAGAGTCCTTCCCAGGCCTCCCCTCGGCTCCTGTGGTTTCCAGCTGGGTGGAGGCCTCAGACCGCAACTGCCTGCTTAGGTGGGTGACTGTCTGTCTGTCTGTCAACACTGAGGACCAAACCCCGGAAGAAGTGCAGCCTCCGGCCCCCCTCTCCCCACGCCCTGCTGATAAGAGAGGTGTCTTCTGGGGAGGTGCAGTGCTGGGCGTCTAGGAGGGGGCGTGCAAGCAGGAACTGGCGCCGCACAGTTTTGCCTGGGTAGTGATCCTTGGAGGAACTGGGTCTAATGGGATGAATGGGACATCAGCGCGGAAGTATCGTCTAGAAGTGCCATCTGAAATGCGGAGGTGGTTCCATTTAGAGACCGTGGATCGATTTCCCATGTCTTAGCAGCTGGACAGACGGGTAATCAGAGAAGGGCTGTCTCAGGACTGCGGGAAGCTGGTCTTCACTCACCACCGGCCTCCGGGGAGACTTTGTGAAGATTCGTCTAATTAAACAACTGAAACTCCGGTGTTGGGAGGGTCAACGCTCCAGTGCCCTAGGCGGTGGCCAGTGGCGGTGGCCAGTGGCCTGCAAGGGAATTAGCCCACGTGTCCAGGAGAGCAGGTGCAAGGCTGCTGGGCACTCGATCACCCCCTCCTGGACAGAGGAGGCCGTGGGTGCGGAGGAGTGTGGTAACCCTCTTGGGGCCACCAGTGTCGTTGTTAGGAAGATGACAGATGACAGGTGGCAGGAGATGTTTGCAGAAGTGACCCTGTTTGAGTGTGGGGACCAGTAACCCCTCCACCCCCAGGGGTTCACCTCTGCAGGGGTCCCTGCTGGAGGTGGAGGACATTCTCTGGTCAGGCTTCAGACAGACCACCTTCATAGAGCACCCAGCTGCCCTGAGAGGGCTGTAGCAGACTGTCCACAAGCTGGAACCTCGGGCCCGCCAAGACCAGGCCTCTGACCACACCATGCTGTGCCCCGGGTCTAGCAGGGATTCTAGCATGTGTGGATGCCGTCCTCATTGGCCCAGGCAAGATCCCTGACTCTCCTTCTGGCTCTGCAAGAGGAAATGGCATCTTGGGATACAGCCGTTGCCCCCGCCTGGCTTCCTGCTCTCTTTGGGGAACTGGGGAGCAGGGCTTCTCCCTCTGAAGACAGTACTGGAACTTGAGAGCAAGGAGGGGCCTTAAAGCAGTCCCCCACCCAGACGAGCTGGACCAGAGGACACAGATCAGATCCTGTTCTGGGTGTCAGCTCCCATTCAGCTGGCCGTGAGGGTTCATTTATGTGTCTGCTTGCCTGGGTAATGGTGCCTGACTGTTTGATCAAGTGTTAGCCTAGGTGTTGTTACGAAGGTATTTACTTAGGATGAACATTTACAATTATTTGTCCTTAAGTAAAGGAACTCACTCACCATGATGCAGGTGGGCCTGAACCAATCAGGTGGGGACCTCAAGAGCAAATACTACAGTGACCTAGGAAGGAGTCTGCCTCAAGACTGTAATACGGACATCCTATGTGGGCCTCCAGCTCTCTCTGCCTGGTCTGTGGATTCTGGAGTTACAGCCCAGACAACTGAAAAAAACTACTCCTTAAAATAAGGAGCTCTGGTAGCGTAATGGTTAAGAATTGGACTGCTAACCTCAAGGTCACCAGTTCAAATCCATCAGCCGCTCCTTGGCAACCCTATACAAGGTCTCTATGAGTTGAAATTGACCTAACAGCACTGAACAACAACATCATTCCTTAAAATAAATGTCTCTCTCATACATGTGTGTGGGGTGCGCTGGTGGCACGTGAGGTAAGCACTGGACTGCTAACTGCAAGGTGCTTGGTTTGAACCCACCAGCTACTTTATGGGAGAAAGATGATGCTTTCTGCTTCTGTAAAGATTTATAGGCTCAGAAATCCTAGGGAGCAGGTCTATCCTGTCGTATTGGGTTGTTGACTTGGAATCAACTTAGTAGCAGGGTTTTTTACATAGTTGTTGTTGATATATGTACTGAGTTGTTATTGTGGTTAAGTACCATCCAGTCAGTTCTGACTCATAACAACCCTGTATAGGATTTCCAAGGAGCTACTGGTGGGTTTGAACTGCCAACTTTACAGTCAGCAGTCCAGAGCACTGGATCGCAAGGTGAGCGGTTCAAACTCACCAGCTGCTCCTCAGAAAATCCTATACAGGGTCACTGTGGTCAGAACTGAAAAGACGGCACTTAATAACAACAATGTGTGTGTGTGTGTTCTTGTTGCTAGGTGCCATCCGGACGGTTCCGAATCATAGTGACCCTATGTACAACAGAACAGAATTCTGCCTGCTTCTACAGCAGCTTCACTATTGCTGCTATGTTTGGTCCTACTGCACCTGCCACTGTTGGGGGTCTTCCTCTTTATCGCTGACCTGACTCTACCAAGCATGATGTCCTTCTCCAGGGACTGGCCCCTCCCGATAACATGTCTGAAGTATCAGAGATGACGCCTGACCATGTTGGCTTCTAAGGAGCATGCTGGAGCACTTCTACCAACACAGATGAGTTTGTTCTTCTGACAGTCCATGGTACCTTTCATATTTTCTCCAACACCGAAACTCAAATTGATCAATTCTTCTACGGTCTTCCTTATTCATTGCCCAACTTTCACATGCATATGAATTATTGAAAATGCCATGGCTTGAGTCAGATACACCTTAGTCCTCAAACTGACTTTTTTTTTTCTTGAATACTTTGAAGAGGTCTTGTGCAGCAGATTTGCCTAATGGAACATGTTGTTTAGTTTCTTGACTGTCTTGGCTGTTGATTCCATGAGTGTTGATGGTTTATCCAAGCAAAATTAAGTCATTGGCAACTTCAATCTTGTCTCCATGTGTGATTACGCTATTCATCAGTCCAGTGATGAGGATCTTTTTTCTTTACCTTGAGGTGCAACCCATACAATGTTTGTGGTCTTTGATCTTCATCAGTAAGTATTTTAAGTCCTCTTCACTTTAAGCAAGCAAGATTGTATTTCCTACATAATGCAGGTTGTTAATGAGCCTTCCTCTAACCCTGATGCCACATTCTTCTTCATATAATCCAGCTTCTCGGATTATTTACTCAGCATACAGACTGAAGAAGTATGGGAAAAGGATACAACCCTGGCACACACCTTCCTGATTTTAAACCATTCAGTGTTCCTTTGTTATGTTCGAACAACTGCCTCTTGATCTATGTACAGTTTCCTCATGAGCACAATTCAGTGTTCTGGAATACTCATTCTCCACAGTGTTGTCCATAGCATACCATGATTCACACAGTTGAAAGTCAATAAAGCACAGGTAAACATCTTTCTAGTATTTTCTGCTTTCAGCCAAGAGCCATCTGATGTCAGCAATGATGTCCCTCATTCCACATCCTTCTCTGAAACCAGCTTGAACCTCTGACAGTTCCCTGTCAGTGTACTGTTGCAGGCGGTTTTGAATTCTCGTTAGCTAAATTTTATTTACTGGTGATAATAATGATATGTCTGATGATTTTCACATCCCCATGGGTCACCTCTCTTGGAAAATATGGGTCTCTTTTAATCAGTTGACCAGGTAACTGTTTTCCAAATTTCTTGGCAGAGATGAGTGAGTGCCTCCTGTGCCGCCTCACTTTCCTGAAAGATTTCAATTTTTATTCCATCAATTCCTGGTGCCTTGTTCTTTGCCATTCCTTCAATGCACCTTGGACTTCTTCCTTCAGTATCATTGGCTCTTGATCATATGCTACCTCTTGAAACGGTTGAACATCAACCATTTCCTTTTGGTACAGTGCCTCTGTGTCTTCCTTCCAGCTTCTCTTGCTGGTTTCCACATCATTCAATATTTTGCCAGTGTTGTTGTTGTTGAGTGCCATCAAGCCGGTTGCAACTCATAGCGACCCTGTATAGGGTTTCTGAGGAGCAGGTGGTGCATTGTGGGTCACACTGACCTTTCAGTCCATTGCTTATCCTACAGTGCTTTACCAGGACCCCATTTTGTCCATAGAATCCTTCAATAACAAAAGTTGAGGCTTGCATTTTTTCTTTGGTTACCTCAACTTGACAAATGCTGAGTGAGTTCTTCACTTTGGGTTTTCTAACTCCAGGTCTTTGCACATTTCATTATAATCTTTAACTTTGTCTTCTTTAGCTGACCTTGGAAATTTTCTGTTCAGCTCTTGGACCTCCTCATTTCTTGCATTTGCTTTAGCATCTCTACACTGGAGAGCCAGTTTCAGTGTCTCTTCTGACATCCATTATGGTCTTTTCCTTCTTTTTGTCTTCTTAATGACCTTTTGCTCTCTTCCTGTATGATGTTCTTGATGTCATCCCACAACTCTTCTGGTCTTTGGTCTTTAGTCTCTAATTATGAAATCTGTTCTTGAGATGATCTCTAAATTCAGGTCGTATATGTTCAAGGTCATATTTTGGCTCTTGTGGACTTGTTTTAATGTTGTTCAGCTTCAGCCTGAACTTGCATATGAGCAATTGATGGTCTGTTCCACAGTCTGCCCCTGGCCTTGTTTTGGCTGATGATAAGGATCTTTTCCATCTGCAGATGTAGTCAATTTGATTTCTGTGCATTCCATCTGGTGAGGTCCATGTGTACAGTCATCTCTTATGCTGTCTAAAAAAGGTATTTGAAATGAAGAAAATTCACAAAATTCAATCATACAATTTCCAGCATCATTTCTATCACCAATACCATATTTTCCAACTATTGATCTTTCCCTTTTGTTTCCATTTGCATTCCAATCACCAGTAATGATCAATATATCTTGATTGTATGTTTGATCAACGATGTTTGTAACGATGGTTACAGGGCTAGGGGTGGAGGGAGGGGGGAAAATCAAGTGACCAGAGGCAGATACTGTTAGACGATGACACATGGAGGGGACTGCAGTCATTGTAATGACACAAAGCATATGATTTGTTTAGTGTGGGACTGATGATATGTTCTGTAAATCTTCACTCAACACAATAAAAAATAAAAAACTTCAAAAAAAAAGTT